GGCAAAAGGCCAGAGCAAATTTTAACACAGTTAAGAAAATAGCAAAAAACTAAATTAGTTTTACAGCATTTTTCTTTTCCTGCATGGTGGTTTTTAAAAGAAGACAAAAAACACTGCTTCCAGGCAACTGTATAGAAGTGATTTTGTCTGAACAAAGCAGGAAGAGGTCTAATACACTTAAAAGAAACAAAAACAAAACCAACAGCAAAAGAAGAGTGTTCAAGCCAAGTTCAGTGCTTCTAACAATACATTTGTAATTTCTGGTATGGAAATTCCCATCCAGCTGCAAAACAAAATCCAAAGCCATGTCTGAATTCTTATACCTGCAAAATAGAATTCCACCGAATTTCAGAGCTTCTTGTCTGTGATAGGTGCAGTAACAAGGAAATATACCTAATGCAAAATAAAATAAGTTGTATCAACTGTGTAAAGAACAGAACCAAACCTGTAGCAGGTTGTAAGGGCAGTGGGGGAAAGCAGGCCATTCCACAGGACTCTATTTTTTCCTGCACTGATGTCAAAGCATTCAGAGAGTTCAGCTCTGAATGTAAAGTATCTCACTTTGTACAACTCCCTGGAAGGACCACGTGGCCAGGTGGGAGAGAGTTGGTCTTGTCTCACAGGTAAGAAGTGACAGTAGGAGAGGAAATGGCCTTATGTTTGGGTGCCTGTGGCACAGGGGGTTCAGGCCCCTTGCCCAGATGGCATTGCATGCTCCCAGCCACAGCATCATTTTCTGTCTGATCAGCCACCCAAGTACACCCTCTCCACTGTGTGCAGTGTCCCTGGCATGGAAGAGATGAGGGATGTGCAGGTGTGGGAGCAGCTCTCTGCTTGTACCAACTCAGTTTTGGTGAGATGTGCACCTGACCCTTGGCTATATTTCTAAGGGCTGTGAAAATTTTTCCTTGCACTTACTCAGCTTCATTCTCCTTCAGCCTTTACAGTTGCAGGAATTTCCCTTTTGCTTGAGCATTTTTCAAGCTGTGGGAAGGAAGCAAGGTTTGTGGGTAACGAGGTCTTCCATTGGAGCTGTGGAGACATCTAGATAAAGGTGAAGTTTCTGTTTCAGAAGCCCTTCTCCATGTCTCAAACAGAACCTTCAGACTGTTACTTTGTCTCTGGAAAGGAGTGTTAGGACCAGAGCTTTGGAGAGAGGCCCCCAGGCACCCTTTCGTGCTAGGCAGCCCCCCTAACCTGCACAGCAATGGGATTCATGGACCCTCTTTGAATGAACACACCTCTTAAATGAGTTTCTGGTTGTAACTGCTCCATAAAATACAGTGGTAGACTGTGTAATCCATACTTTTTTCTTTGTAGAGAAAGATTTTTTTTTTTCATCTGTGCTCCTAAATCTTCATCAGTGTTACATTCACTGTAGTGCATATTAAATTGGTGAGTATTGATTTCAGCAGAATTTTTCCATTGTCTTCTTGGAAATAATCATGGAATGGCTTTGTTTGGAAGAGACTTCAAAGATCATCTAGTTTCAAACCCCATGCTGTGGGCAGGGATGCTTTCCACTAGACCATGTTACTCAGACCCATCCAGCCTGGCCTTGAACACTTCCAGGGCTGGATCATCCACAGCTTCTCTGTCTTATAAATGAAAAACTAAACTTGCCAATACATCAAGCAATATAGCCAATTTATTAATTTGTTTGATAAAAGGGTGAGCAATTTTTACAGTGCTGGGTGCGTGGGGGTCTCCACCCCAAGCAATGCACAAATTCAGTTTTCAAGCAGTAATCTTCTCATACTGTTCTAGGCACTTCCCTTCCTCAAATTTTCAGTTATTTTCTACTTGCTTTTCTTCAGTTGTGGTTTTTGAAGATCTGCTGGGGAGATGGTCCAAGGTGGTCTTCTGATGTCTTTCTAGCCTCCCATTCTTCTTTTGAAATATCTTTTTTTCCACTATGTGAAAAACGAGGTTCACATTTTTTTAATATAAAATTTAAAAAGTTTAATAGAAAGACAATTCGGAGATAGAAATAAAACAAAATTAACAAATACAGCTGGGTGCTTCAGCATTTAGCCAAGAGCATCCCTTAAAAATACAAATCTATTGCATATTCATAAATGTTCATGTATTATTTAAACATTCCTCTTAAGTTTTAGATGTTCCTTGGTTTAGCTTCAACTGCCCTCCCTTTCCAATAGATCAATCTTCTTGGCTTTGTTGAGTCTCACAATCCCAGATAAGAGGTTCAGTAAATTCCTCCTTTGGAGCTCTGGTTGCTGCTGTCCTCATCTGGATAAAATAATCTAAGAATGCAGGGGATGTTTCTGACTATCTCTTCAGTCTCTGGGTCATATGAACAAAAGCATTCTTTATTTTAATACCACACTACAGCCTAACATATTTATATGTATTGCACCACTATTTCTAAGTTTTATCAATAACAGAAATAAAAGAAACTATTAATACAGCAAAGTTTTCCAACATTATACATGTAACATTCATTTTAATATTTGCAAAAAGCCAATATATAATATGTGTCTATAACAACTAGCATTATTTTTGGTTATACAGTTTGTCTAAGCAAGCATATATATTCTGTTAGCATACATTTTGCAAGCCTTCTTTTAGTCATTTTACAACCTAAAGCTAGCATGTCTAAAAAATGTCTTCATAGGGCTTCTTCCTCAGTTAAGTAAATTTGTAGTAGATTTAAGTAAAACTTAAAGCCAGCATGTTTCAAAATGCCTTTGTAGAGCCTATCAATTCATGTTAGTCCTACTGCCCCTTTTTACGTGTTACAAATTCTTCTATACTCCTGTTGGGGTTTAAGTGTCTGTCCTGTTGTTCTGTCTCACCTATGGAATTTTTACCCATCAGTGGCAGGGAAAACCGGGTTCCTGGTACTTCGTGGGTGCTTGAAAAACACAACGAGTTTGGCTGGGCCCAGGGGGGAGGGGGCAGCTGGCGGCTGGCTGGTTTCTTCAGCTTCAGAGCAGAACACTCGCGGGAAGCTGTTGCGGCTGGGAGAAGGGAATTCGCCATCACCCAGACGGAGCTGCTGCTTCTCCTTCTTCCCTCTTTGTTGGTTGGCCTCGCACCCCCCTGTCCTGCCGGGACGTGTGGCAGTGCCAGCCACCGCCGCGGAGCTGCTGATGCACCTCAGCCACCGGCCCAGGATCTCAGCTCATCCCTGCTGTTCCAGCTGGCTGTTCCTCAGAGCCCTGCAGGAGCACCGGGACTGACTGCCCGAGGGGTTTGTGAAACAAAGCCTCTCCTCCATCCCATCTCAGCCGGGAAGGCTGTCACGGGGTCCCTGGTTCTGTTTTCTTGCTAATGTTATTGTTGTTTGTTTGCCTGGTTTATACTAGTAAAGAACTGTTATTCCTATCCCCAGATCTCTGCCTGAGAGCCCCTTGATTTCAAAATTGTAATAATTCGGAGGGAGGGGGTCTACATTTTCATTCCAAGGGAGGCTCCTGCCCTCCCTAGCAGACACCTGTCTTCCAAACCAAGACAACTCAAAAAAAACCCCACCTTATAGCTTGTACAAAGGATAGTTTGAAACTTACACTACAAGGTGTTTAAAGCTTCTATAAATTACTTGTAGGTAATTATAATTTTGTTGTTAAACTATTAGCTAAAAGTTTACTGTTACATAGTTACCTTGTTAAACCTTACTTCCATGCCTTAATTCAGCCGATTCTTAAAACACTTCTTTATAATAATCCCATGGTCTCTGTCTGCATTGTCCACAGACACATGTATATAGGTGGGTGCTATTCGATTGATGCAAATTACAACCTGATTTCTCACATCTGGGCAACCTGTTCCAGTGCCTCACCACCCTAACAATTAAGAAGTTCTTTGTAATATAATCTAAACCTATCCTCCTTTAGTTCAAAGCAATTCCCCCTTGCCCTGTCACTACATATCCTTGCGAACAGTCCCTCTCCAGCTCTCTTGTATCTCCCTTTAGGTATTGGGAGATGCTCTAAGTCTCTCTGGAGCTTTTTCTTTTTACCACCTAAAAAACCTGACTGCAGTTCATCTTGCTGTTTCCCTTCTCCCCATGAGCCTCCTCCAGCCAGCTGGTGGGATGTCAGGCATCTCCTCCTCTAGGGAGAATCTACTGATCTACAAATTTTTCAAACCTCAGTTTCCACAGCCTATTGCAATGTTCTTACAAAAAACACTAACTGTGTATGATCTAGCCAGAGAGCAGCCAGGCAGCCCCATTGTGAAGCAGGGACAGACACAGTTAAACTTTGGAGCTACTAGAAACCACAGGAAGCATTTCAAGGCATGGCTCCCTGTTTTCTCAGCAGCACTACTGGTAAAAGTCTTCACTTAAAGCACCTTAAATGTCAGCCTGTGGACAAAGTTGCCATGTTGACATTAGCCCAAACTTCCCCTTTCCCTGTTCTCATGAGGGTGAGAGAGAAGGGAATCTCACTGTCAGCACTTGCCATGGGATGTGTTGACTTGCTCCTGAGAAAGCAGCAACCCAGATCCTCTCTGAGATCTCTGCATATTATGTGTATCCTGCTGGGAAACAAAAAGTGCTGTCCTGGTGCCACAGGTTCTCCACAAAATGTGGAAGTAAATCCAAAACTGTCATGACTTGCACAGGATATGAGTGGTTACATAATTTGGGTTAGTGCAGAAACTTTAAATATTAGCATCTCATAAAGGGAAATGTATGTGTGTATGGTAAGTGCTCTGTTAATTTTACAGTGGCTGGGCTACATGGCTTGTGACAAGCACTTAGGGAATCAGCCTAATTTTTATGGAAAGTCTCCACGTGGGGTATATTTTCTAAGAAATTATAACCTAAATGTCTGTCTTGATGAAAGTAAATCATTCAGAGCTACTCTCCCCTGAACAGCAACAACATGTGGGAAAAGTTAAGGGAATAACAAGATAAACATGTAAACATTTTTTTTTTTAAAAAGAGTAACTAGTCCTGGGAAAAGGAAAAATAAATTACTGTTCTGCATTGTTAAGTCTGTGGTTGTAAGGACAGGGCACAGTTCCTGACTTCCCCCTTCAAGTTACCTCCCACCCATTTTACGTTTTTTGCTGCTGGCTACCAATAAGAACATCTGAGGGAGTAAGTTTAGTTTCATCTTTGCCAGAGCCTCTTTGTGCAGGATCCCGGCTGGAGAGGAAGCCTCCACTGACCAAGTCTGCTCACCAGGTTAGCTCTCTAAAAGCATGGAAATATTAATAATTTGTTAGCCTGGGAAGAGTGGGATAATAGTGTCAAAGTAGGGATTTATTTTTTTTTTTTTCCCTACTTAGTACAAAGTACAAATCAAACTATCTGGCAAAT